GGATGGGCGACGAGAGGCGCGGTGGCGGGGGAGGGACTGTGGAGAAAGAGAGGGGGATGGTCAGTGGAGGAGGAACCCCAAATCAGGGGATATTCCCCCAAAATGGAATGATAACCCCCCCCGAAATGAGAGGGACAGAGGACAGACACTTACCCGGCTTGGGCGAGGGGGACCGGGGGGGTCCCAGGGGCTCCTCGGCCTCGTCCTCAGAAGAGGAGGAAGAGGAAGAAGAGGATGAGGAAGACGAAGAGGAAGATGAGGAGGATGATGGGGGAGGAGACGAGGAGCTGCTGGAGGCACTGCCCCCAGCCCCCTCGTACAGGGAGAACTTGGAGGAAGCTTCGCTGCCACCTTCGGCCTCGTCCCCCAACTCCTCCTCGTCCTCCTCCTCGTCCTCCTCCTCCTCCTTCTCCTGCTCTTCTTCCTTCTCTGTGGGGACATGGATGTGACATCAGTGATGTCACCATTGATGTCCCCCACCCTACAGACAATGCCCCAGCCTGTGATCCCCACATCACCCCCGCTGTCCCCAAAATACCCTCCATGTCCCACCCGTGTCTTAACGGTCCCCCCACAATGTCCCCGAGCCCCTCCTCACCGTGTCCCCGGCACGGGGGAGCCCGTCTGTCCCCGTCCCTGCGTGATTGGGATGAGGGAGGATCCCCCTTCCCCCTCCTCCTCCTCCTCCTCTGCACCGCCGCTTCGGCTTCGTTTTCCTCCTCCTCCTCCTCCTCCTCCTCCTCCTCCTCCTCCTCCTTTTGGGGCAAGGAGACAAGAGCAGGGGTCAGGGGGGCTCCCAGGGGGTGCCCGAGGTGTTGGGAGTGGCTGGGGGGAGGTCCCACCTTGGCTGAGGACGATTCCTCGGACGCCTCCTCGCCTTCGCTGTCCAGCCGGAAAAGCTTCCGGCGCTTCCCGGGGGCTTCTGCACGGGGGGGCTCCTTGTCTGGGTGGGGAATTTCAGGGGCTTGGGGATTTTCAAAGGTTTAAGGAGGGGTTTTGAGGGAATTTTGGGTGGAGAGTCTCACCATCCTCATCCTCCTCAGGAGGAGTGGGGGGCCGGGGTCGCTTCTCCTCGCTCCCTTCACACAGCTCCGAGGGCTCTTTCCGCTTCACCTGGCCAGGGCACAGAAATGAGAAAAAATGCAAAAAAATGAAGGGAGAAAATGGTGAAAAAAATGTGGAAAAAAATAAGGAAAAGAATCCTCTCGAAACCCCTTAAAGTCCCCAAACTCTGCCCATAAATGGATAGCGAACACACAGAGCCCCTCTAAAAAGGGAACACCTTAAAACTCCCCATCCAACACTCCCCAAATTGGTTACCTGGAATGAGAAGAGCCTGAGGACCCCCCAGATTCCCCCAGGATCCCTCAAGTACCCCCCAAATCCCCCCAGATGCCCTCAGCACCCCCACAAATGGGTACCTTGAAGGAGGGGAGCCTGAGGGCTCCCCGCAGCCCCGATCCCCCGCCCCGGGCCCAGTCCACGAGCGASAGGAGGGCGGGAGGGGGCTCCTTTGGCCTCGCCCGCTCCGGGGCCTCCTCCCGGCCCCGGCCCGACTGGAACGGCTGGGGAGGCAAAAATTGAGGGGGTCAGCAGCGGGGGCATTTCGGGATGAAATAGGGGAACTTGAGGAGAAAACAGGTGTGGATTTGGGGGGGATTTTGGAGGACATTGGGAGGATTTGCAGGAGGATTTGAATGGCAAAATTCAGAGAGGGAAACGTGGGGATTTGGGGAAGATATGGGGTGGCTGYGGGGATTCAAGACAGGTTTGGGGTGTGCTTCAGGATCTCGCCCACCTTGACCTGCTCCTCCTTCCTCTCCCACCACGCGTCGAAGGCCCGAAAAGCCACGTTTTCCACCATTTTCCGGTTCAGGTCACGCTGCATCGTCGCCTTCATCTCCTGGACCAGGGCCGCCAGCACCCCCTCCACGGGACCCGCCCTGAGCCCCGGGGACCCCGAAATGCCGGGCGGGGACGTGCCAGGGGGCTCCGGGGGGGGCGGCGGTGGCGGGGGAGGGGGTGCGGGGTCGGTGCCAGGGGGTCGCTCCTCCACGAATTGGGGCGAGAACGCCGAGAAATGGTGCGGGGCAGGGGTGAAGTGGGAGGGGTGGGGGGCGTAGGGGGGCACCCCAAAGGCGGGCTTGGAGCCCCCTGCTGCGGCCGAGGCCCGCAAGCGGCTCAGGAGCTGCGTCTGAAGCTGGAAAGAGGCCGGGACCCCCCCCCAGCGGGTGCCCCCCACCCCCAAGCGCCCCAAAAGATCGTAAAGGGCTGGAGGGGACGCCCCAAAATCGGGGAGAGAGCGTGGTGGGGGGAGAGTGACGGCCATGAGGGGTTGTGGGGG